ATACGCCAGCAGGTGCCAAGCATTTGCCCTGAATAGCCTGCCCTTCCATCTTGGCCTTTGTATGAGCTAGTAGATGTTGTGGCCTGGCCCATCCTGCCCCACACCCTGTTTTAGGATGCACATGTGGGTGCTGTAGCCTGGATCTGCCCACCCTATTCTCAGCCCCAGTACCCATGAATGTTGGCAAGTTCCATGATCATACCTAGTTCAGCCCATCACCACCAACCCTTGAGCTAACCAGCAGGACTTGCATTTCCACAAGGTTTGGCCCACTTTCCCCCCACAGAATCTACCCCTGGTCCAGGTTCTCTCACTTACTGGTTAGTGCCATGGTCCTGCCTAATGTGACCTGTCCCCTGTTCCCACAATCATCAGGTACTGGGATCTAGCTCTGCTAGACAGGCCCCCAGCCCTATCTTTCCTGTGAGCTGGAGTGTGCGGCGGTCAGCGGTGTTCTGCACTAACAAGTCCATCTCAGGACTCCCATGTGGGCTGGTGCATCAGTGTGATCCATACAGATCTTCCAGTCCCTTTCCTCCAAATCACCAGTTCCAGTTCCCTTACTTACCTGCAAGTACAGTGGCCCTGTTGTTGGGAGTCCCTCAGGATTCATTCCTCACCTACATGCACAGTGGCCTTATGCATGGATGTCCCAATGCAGTGAATTCCTCAACCCCAAGTCCCTAGAGCTTGTCAGTGGGTGGGCAGTGGATGGAGCCCAGCACCCATAGATGCACTGGCTGCAGGAGCTAAGATGGAGCCGGTTGCTTAAGTGGTTGAGTCAGGCTGCGCCCCCTTGCCCATTAGCCAGAAGCGGTTGATGGAGCAGAGGTTCTGCTTTGCATGCCTGGCCTGAGGTAAGATGGAGCTAGCTGCTTTTTAAGCTGTTGGGTCAGGCTGTGTTCCCAGCCCATCAGCCCAATTTGCACCTTTTTAATCAAATCAAATTCATTTCTAAGCATTTTTTTTTTTACTTTTAAGTTAGTTCTTTTGAAATAAGTTTTGATTTATAGGAAGTTGTAAATGTAGTACAAAGGGTTCCATTTATTCTTAAGTGTTCTCTAATTTTTAGCATCTTATGTAACCAATGAATACTATAACTAAGAAATATCATTTATGTAACTGAATAAACTACACAATTTATTTGTATTTCACTAGTTTTTCCACCAATAACTTCTTTACACCAGGACTAAATCCGGAATACATATTGCTTTTAAGCTAAAAAATGTCAATATTATTGTACATGGATGTTATGGAATTATTTCCTAATTTTTTGGTGCTAGAATATAACAATAAAATTGAATATTGGCATATTAACCTGAATCCAGTGGCCCTGCTAAATTGATTTATTAATTCTAATAACTTTTGGAAGTACTGAAAAATTTCTATTTTTATGCTTTCTGTATATCAGGGCAGGTTCAATTCATTTTCTATGATAAGTTTCCATTTGATTTTTGTACCTTTTGCATTGGTTGAACACCAAGAACAAGACTGAATAAAATGATTAACTCAGATGTCTGGTTTGTTGCTGATTCTAGGAAGAAAACTTTTAGCCTTTCATCCATTAGTAACACACTAGCAGTAGATGTTTACTTTATTTAGCCAAGTTGAAATTATTCCTTGTTATTCTTAGTTTGCTAAATTTCATCATGAAACCATATTGACTTTGCACACATTTTTTTCTGCATGTTGTAATAAACATACACCTTTTGTCCTTCATTCTACTAATTTCATGAATAAGTTTTATAAATGTTTACCCAAATTTGATTTCCATGATATAATAAAATTAATGTGCAAAGGTGCATACTTATTGTAAGTATTCAAAATTCAGTTTCTTAATATTTTGTATCTATCCCTGAGATGTGCTTGTCTATTTTCCTTCCTGGGATGCTTTTCCTTGTTATGTTTTTGGAATCAGGATGATGGTTTTCTGGTGTGCCTTTCTCGTTGCTTCTTCTCCTTTGCCATCTGTAGTTCTGAGCCCAGCACATATTCCTATTCCTTCTCCAAAGTCAGAGGTCTTTCTAATTCCCATAAACTCTTCCTCATCTCTGTCGCAAGACATGGCAGCCACCTCACCAAGAAATGCCTGTCCACTTGTAGGGAACTAGACACCAGTGTTCTCACAGCACTTTTAAGATTTATTTTTTTTTTAAGATTTATTTTTAATGAGATATACAGAGAGGAGGAGAGACAGAGAGGAAGGTTTTCTGTCTAATGATTCACTCCCCAGGTGATTGCAACAGCTGGTGTTGAGCTGATCTGAAGCCAGGAGCCAGGAACTTCCTCCAGGTCTCCCACGAGGGTGCAGGGTCCCAAGGCTTTGGGCTGTCCTTGACTGCTTTCCCAGGCCACAAGCAGGGAGCTGGATGGGAAGTGGAGCTGCCGGGATTAGAACCGGCGCCCATATGGGATCCCAGTGCATTCAAGGTGAGGACTTTAGCTGCTAGGCCACCAGGCTGGGCTCTTAAGCTTTATGTGAACATCACCTGAGGCAAATGCTATCTAATCTATCATAATGGGGCTGTGAAGATCAACTAGCTTGTAATTTTTCTTTACCCAAATAACTACAAGGGTTAATATTTTATCCCTCGAAACATTAAAAACTTAAAAGGAATTAAACCCATGGCAACATGGACAGATCTCAGAGAAAAGCAAGTTATAGAACTGAAAGTGTGTTTTGGAATATGTGAACAACACATTGAATAGGAGAGAAGTGGGTCTTGGAATGGAGAGCAAATCTCTCTGTTGTAACAGCTAGGGTTAGGCTGGAGTCAGGAACCAGGAACTCCATCTGGCTCTGCGGTACAGGTGGCAACGACCCAAGTACTTGAACCATCACCTGTTGCTATCCAGGTACAAAGCAGGGAGCTGGATTGGGAGCTGGGTAGATAGGACCGAAACCAGCACTCTGGTGTGAGATGCAGGACCAAGCTGCCCTCCCTGTTAAGCATTTTTCTGTATCTACTGAAGTCTCTTTTTAAGGTAGTAGATTACATTAACTGATATCTAATTAATGAAGTGATAATTACGTGGTTTTATCCTTAAGCATATTGCAAAGTTTTGTGTCCTGATATTTTTCTTAGGAATTTGCTCTTAAAATGTCCAGTTACTAGGGCCTGACACAATAGCCTAGTGGCTCAATCCTCACCTTGCCTGTGCCAGGATCCCATATGAATGCTGGTTATATCCTGGCTGCTTCCAGTTCCGACTGTGGTCTGGGAAAGCAGTAAAGGATGGTGTAAAGTTTTGGGACCCTGAATCCATGTGGGAGACCCAGTTGAAGCTTCTGGCTTCTGGCTTTGGATTGGCTCAGCTCTGCCAGTTGCAGCCACTTGAGGAGTGAACCAGGCAATGGAAGATCATACTCCCAGTCTCTCCTCTCTGTAAATATGCTTTTCCATGAGTCCAGGCACGGTAGCGTAGTGATTAAAGTCGTCATCTTGAATGCATCGGGATCTCATTATATGGGTGCCGGTTCTTATCCTGGCAGCCCCGCTTCCATCCAGGTCCTTGCTTGTGGCCTGGGAAAGCAAAGGAAGGCCAAAAGCCTAAGGACCCTGCACCTACGTGGGAGACCCAGCAGAGGCTTCTGGCTTCGGATTGGCTCAGTTCCAGCCATTATGGCCGCTTGGGGAATGAATCATCAGACGGAAAGCCTGAGCTTATCCGAAGCCAGGAGCCAGGAGCTTCCTCCGGATCTTCATGTGGGTGCAGGATCCCAAGGCTTTGGATCATCTTCCACTGCTGTCCTACGCCACAAACAGGGAGCTAGATGGGAAATGGAGCAGTCAGGATATGAACTGGTGCCCTTATGGGATCCTGGTGCATGCAAGGCGAGGACTTAGCCACTAGGTTATTGTGCCGGGGCTGGCATCTGGATTCTTAACCCATAAAAGTTGTTCTCTTGCATCCTACAATATACTGAACCTGCACTGTTAAACACTTAAAATGTACTAGTTACAATTGCTCTGTTATGTGAAAAATGTGGTTGTAAATTGCTTCAACCCTGCAATATCAAACATTGGAGCATACTGTGTTGGCAGTATACTTCTACTTCCTTATACTGATAGAGATTTTGATTTGTTTGGTTTTACTTTTCAATAAAACATCCATTTACAACTGCATTATTAGAGTGTACTTCTCCAAGTTATGGTTTGATTATGTTCTTCAAAAGTTCATGCATTGAAAATTAATCCTCTGATTCATATGTTAGTAATATCAGGAGGTGGGATCTTTTGGAGCGAATTAGGATTAAAAGAGGCCTTAGAGTGATGATCCCAACATGCCATTAATGGTTTTAAAATCAGAGGAAGGGAGCAGTATGGATTTGGTCTAGCAGTTAAGATCCTACTTGGGGCTCAGTGTGGTAACTTAAAGGCTAAGGTACTTGCCTTGCACATGTGGGGATCCCATATGAATGCCGGTTCATGTCCCGGCAGCCCTGCTTCTTGTCCAGCTCCCTGCTTGTGGCCTGGGAAAGCAATAGAGGACAGCCCAAAGTCTTGAGACCTGGCACTAGCATGGGAGACCCAGATGAACCTCCTGGCTCTTGCTTTTGGACTGGCTCAGCTTCAGCCATTATGGCCACTTAGGGAATGAATCAACGGATGGATGAGCTTTCTCTCTGTTTCTCTTCCTCTCCGTATATCTGATTTTCCAATAAAAATAAATGAAGCTTAAAAAAAAGAGACCCTACTTGGGATGCCTGCATCCTATAATTGGTGTGCCTAGGTTTGAGTTCCAGTTTTCTGCTAATATGTATTTGAGAGGTAGCAAGTGAGGGCTTAAGTGCCTGGCTCCTAGCTTGGCAGAATCCAACCTCTGCTGTTGTAAGCATCTGGGAGAGTGAACCAAATCATCAGAAATCTCTGCCTCTCAGATGTTGTAGTCAACTACAATTAGTGGCAGGAGTTGCAAATCTAAAACCAGTATTTCTCATCAATTGTTTCTGTGGCAGATGAAGACAGGGGCTAAATCAAAGAGGCAAAGGAAACAAATTAATAGAAGCATATATTTTAATAAATATGTAAATGAAATTATAACCTTTTCATTATAGATAAAGGAAATTAAGTATTATCATTCCCACTTTAGGGACAAAAACAGACAGGACATGAGACTCATGCCTCTATCACACTGCTCTAGTCAGCCTAGGATATTAAGAAACCTGTCAGGGTGATCTAGTCAAGATCAAAAGTTAGGAATGATGTAGGGGAACAAGGGAAAGAAAAAAGAAGAGAAAGGGGGAACAAAATGAAAAGGTCATGTCTTAGGGTCTCAGTGTAAGTCTGGATCTCATGCAGTTAAGCCACAGAAAAGGAAAAATTTTCCCAGAGAAGGAAGTTGAGAATTCATAGATGACTTCTTGTGACCTAGCATTGGTAAAGGTTACCTTCCCTCCATCATAATCCAGAGCGACTCCAATCTGCCTCGGGCAGTAGGACAGAATCTGGAAAGGATCAGAGCCAGTACACACAGAGACCCCAGCTGGAGACAGCTGCAGAGTCCAGAATCCTTCCTCAGGGCTGAAGTGGAGAAATCCTCTTCTTACCACCGACTCTCTTGCCACCCCTACTACGCAGAATTTGAGCCATATTCCGTTTCCCTGAGGCCACTTCTGCTCCAACTCTTCACGCTCATTTCTATAGCCAGGAGCACCATATGCCTCATTGACGCCTAAGAATCCACTAAAATAGCTATTGCTGACCATGTCCCTGACCCCGCCTCTGCACCTCGTTGCTTCTTCCTCCTCCTCTGCCCCCCACCAGATTCTATCCACTTCGACTTCCCAGTACACTTTGCCCCACGTGAAGCCACTGCTGCCCAGCACACCAGGCTCAGGATCAAAGCGCTGGCCATGCTGGCATTTGTTCATCCACGAGCCAGTAAATATCATACTCTTCCCATTTGGAGACACTGACAGGTAACCATTGGCTGTCTGAGAATTCAGGACGATCTTCACTGTAGGGATAAGGGGATAAAAGTGTGGTATAAAATATGTAAAGGACATTTGACCCGCGTGCTCTGGGGCCTTTCTAACAGTGAGGAGAGCCTCCCACTGGGGACCAAGACAAAGAATGCTTTAGACCTTGTGCTCATACTACTGGTGGTTCCCATATCTAGAAAATGGAGAGAACGTGGGAAGGAAATACAGAGGCACAGGCAACACGATGACATCCAGGAAGAGAAGGAGAGAGGAACTGGAATCATTAAATCTGGGGAAAGCACCCCAAAAGTTTCTGGTTTTGAAAGCTGAGGGTTCATAACAGAGAGGTATGACACAGACCTTGCTGTTTAGGGAAATGATAAGGAGCTTAGTGAAGAAATGGAAATTTCACTTTGAGGGGAAAAAAAGTCTACCCTTATTTCCGCATACTCACTTGTTTTGTATTCCAGATCCTTCATCAACTTTCCTAGAGTGAATGGAGAAAAATACAGTGAAAGATTCTACCACCGCATATTACTAGGGCAAATTTTCTTGGTGTCAGCTAACCTAATTTTAAAAGCAGACATTAGGTAGTCTTCTTATGCCTGGCTTACTTTATTTATTAAGTATCCTCAAGGTTTACCCATGTTGGAGCACATCTGGTTTCCCCTCCCTTTTGAGGTGAAACAAGATTCTGCTTCATGGTTATACTGTATTTCCCTTATCCATTCACCTACAGATGGATGCTTATGCCTGTAGGCTATTGGATAACAATGTGGGTATATGAAAATCTTATTAGCATTCTGCCTTCAACTCTTTGGGGTACATATCCAGAAATGTGGTGAACAGATCATATTCTATTTTCAGATTTTTGCGGGGAACTGCCATGCCGTTTTCTCAGCCTCTAAATATATGTATTCTTTACTTTTATATATGAATTTTGGTTTTTTTTAAACCAGCTCTGGGGGCCCAGTGTGATAGCGTAATGGTTAAGGTCCTCGCCTTGAATGCACCAGGATTCCATATGGGCACCGGTTTTAATCCCAGAGACCCTGCTTCCCATCCAGCTCCCTGCTTCTGGCCTGGGAAAGCAGAGGACAGCCCAAAGCCTTGGGACCCTGCACCCGCGTGGGAGACCTGAAGGAAAGTTCCTGGCTCCTGGCTCTGGATTGACGCAGCACTAGCCATCGCAATCACTTGGGGAGTGAATCATCGGATGAAAGCTCTTCCTCTCTGTCTCTCTTCCTCTCTGTATATCTGCCTTTCCAATAAAATAAACAAATCTTAAAACAAAAAACAAACCAAACCAAACAAAAAAACAGCTCTTCCTTAGTCTTGGCAGCATTTTTCGGCTGTTGCGTGGAAAGACTCCCTGGCTTGCACTGACTGTGATTCCCTTCCCAGCGCTCTGACTGGCCTGAGTGACTTTGCACGACAGCAAAGGCAGAATCAAAATCAAAGGGAATATCAGAAAACAGAACCCCCAGGCTCGGACCCCTCCCTTCATCCATTCCTTTACCATGGAAGACTCTGAGTCCTTTCTCTAAAGAAAGAAGTTTGTCTGAAAATTCTTCAGCCTGTTTTTTGATTGCAGGATTGATCGGCTTTTCAATCCAGAACTTCTTCCTGGGATACCTAGAGAAAGTACAGCCACAGTGGGAATTGCTAGCAGAAAAACATGCATTTGTACTGTCCCCGCATGTGCGGGGGAACCACCCTGCCACACCCACCACAGGCCCCAGGGGCAGAGAGTAAGCACAAAGCTTCCAAACGTCAGTTCCAGTATCAAGGAGTAAGTAGGCAGCTCTGAGATAGGGCCACTTATACCCCACTATGCCATTTATATAAAATGTTTAAAACAAAGGGTCATCTTTCTTTTCTTTCTTTCTTTCTTTCTTTCTTTCTTTCTTTCTTTCTTTCTTTCTTTCTTTCTTTCTTTCTTTTCTTTTCTTTTTGCTTTAGAAGTACTTCAAAACATGCTACTAATGTTATGATTTTTAAAGAAATTATTTGAAGATGAATAGCAAATAAATGAAAATTAAGATGAAAAGATGAAACTTTGAATTTATTTTTTAAGATTTTAAAAAAGATTTTTTTTTTAATTGGAAAGGCAGATATACAGAGTGGAGGAGTCAGAGAGGAAGATCTTCCATCCAATGATTCACTCCCCAAGCAGCCGCAACGGCCAGAGCAGAGCCAATCTGAAGCCAGGAGCCAAGAGCTTCTTCCGGGTCTCCCACACGGGTACAGGGTCCCAAGGCTTTGGGCCAGCCTCCACTGCTTTCCCAGGCCAGAAGCAGGGAGCTGGATGGGAAGCAGGGTCTCTGGGATTAGAACCGGTGCCCATTTGGGATCCTGGCACGTGCAAGGCGAGGACTTTAACCACTGTGCTATCGCGCAGGGCCCTGAATTTAATTTTTAAAAGAAGTTTTCAATTTTAAAATTGAGATTAAAGCTGGGAAGAAACAAATAGGCTAAATACAAAATAAAATAAATCTGAGGTCTTGATCTTATTGTCACATGGGTTTGAATGCAAAGAAGAAAAACATTCAAACAATATAGGGTAATTTATGTTATCTAAAATGTTATAATCTATAACTAAGATATAATTCTCAAAGATCAGGCAGGAGAAAAAAGCAAACCTACAATTTGGAACACATTTCTATACGGGTCTGTAACTGACCTCTCTGAGAGGATCATTAAACCGTCTAGGACATACTAAACAGTCAAAAGGCAAGTATGAAAACCAAACAAAATTACAAAGGAAAAAATCTTGGAGATAGACTATGAAATTCTATTTCAAGAAAACAGTGGCTGCATTTATTTTCTTTCTTTTTTTAAATTTTGTTGATTTTTATTGGAAAACCAAGAAAGAGACAGGGAAAGACAGAAAGATCTTCCATGTGCTGGTTCACTCGGCAAGTGGTCGCAGTGGCCAGAGCTGAGCCCATTCAAATCCAGGAGCTAGGAGCTTCTTTTAGGTCTCCCTTGTGGGTACAGGATCCCAAGGTCCTGGGCCAACCTCTACTGTCTTCTCAGGCCACAGTGATGGAGCTGGAAGGGAAGGGGAACAGCTGGAACATGAAATTTAGTGGCGAGGACTTTAGCCACTAGGCTACCATACTAGACCCTGCACCTTTTTCAAGTGTTTGAAACAATCATAAAAATTTATAACATGGAAATTTTGCAGATTTTTAACAACAGATGAAAGCAACACTTTAATTGCAAGATTTTAAAACTATCAAAACAAAAGCTATATTGAAAAGCAGCATTGATGACAATTATTTCCTTAAATCCCATGTTAAACAACAAATGAAATTCAAAAGTTCAAAATAGGGGCCAGTATGGTGGTGCATTGAGCTAATCCTCTGCTTGCAGAGCTAGCGTCCCCTATGAGCCCCCGGTTCATGTCCTCACTGATTCACTTCCTTTCCAGCTCTCTGCTAATATACCTGGGAAAGCAGCAGAGAATGCCTCAAGTTCTTAGAGCCCTGCACCCATGTGGGAGACCTGGACGAAGCTCCTGGCCTCTGGCTTCTGGCTTCAGATCAACTCAGCTCTGGCCATTGTGGCCATTTGGGGAGCAAACCAGAGGGTGAAAGACTTTGCTCTCTCGCTGTCTCTCCTCTTTCTGTAACTCTGCCTTTCACGTAAATAAATTCTAAAAAACAAAGAAACAAAAAATGGCAGAAAGCAAATGATATAAAAGTAGAAATTCACAAAATAAAAAGTATTTATACATAAGAAAAATTCACACATTTAGGTATATAATTTTGCCTATGCAAAAAACTTTAAAAATGCAGGTGAAATGGCAATTTTCTAAAAGATATACATACTAAATATTCCTATTAAATAAAAGCCATCAGAATGTATTTACTAAAAACAAAACAAATTGTTTATGAGAGACATAGAAAATACAGATTCAGAAATAAAGAATAGAAAGAGAACTACAGTAACTTTATCAGACAAAATAGGTCAGGCAAGAAGTATTACTCATTCTGTGTTGGCCTCATTCCTTAATTGCTCATCTGTGACATGGCTGCCCAGTGTCCCCAGTCAGGATCTGGTAAGGCAGCTCATTCCTTTCCTTTCTACCCATTTGCTTCCACAGACCAAATGCTTCAAGAGCCCGGGATGTCTCCAAAGATGAAGGGTGGATAATCAAAACTCCTGTCTTTTGACACTGGCACTGCTCCATTTTCCATCCAGCTCCTTGCTTGGGAAAGCAGCAGAGGATGGCCCAAGTCCCTTGGCCTCTGCACCCATGTGGGAACCTCTGAAACAAAATCCTGGCTTCAAATCTGCTCTGCGCTGGACATTGAAGCCATCTGGGGAGTGAATCAGCAGATGGAAGGTTTTCTCTCTCTCTCTCTCCTTCTTTGTAATTCTGCCTTTCAGTTAAAATAAATACATCTTTTTTAAAAAAAAGCCTGACTTTTTGAATGTGTCCAAAGCTCCTGAATATCATGTGGCTGTAAGCTTGAAAACTGCTCATGTTAAGTGTTAACATATATTTCCTCAGACCCAGTACCAGAGACTTCATGAATCCTGTGCCCTGTACGTGTGTGTGTGTGTGTGTGTGTGTGTTTCCGCCCTGTGAGCAGGCAGAGCACAGGAAATCATCACTGCTGAGCACGGAGGACAATCTGATAATATAATGTGCTTAACAGAGGAAACTGTGGTCAGAAGCACCTGGGAACCCTAAGGGAAAGGATAGTATGAAAGGAAACCGGTTTCAGAGTTTTACATTTTTTCCAATACTCTTTTACAATCTGCCATTTCATTTCTCTTAACTCACTGCCATCCTCACATAAATTTCATGAAAACTTTTCCCAGCACCCTACCCATATTTCACGAAATGCCTTTTCAACTATCCTACCAGGAACCCCTTTTCCAGTTCTTGTCAAACGTAAAAAATAAAGAGAGAGAAAACAAGGGGATATCATAAGTATTTTTTAAAAAATGTAAGATGCATTTACCTGCTTGATATGTCACTTGGGTCCTGAAAGAAGAGGACAGACTGTCAAAACAATCAGGTTCTCAGGAGGGAGCCCTCACCAGTCCCTGATGGGCTCAGCAGCAAGCGGTCACAGACTGCAGAGGACGCTGTTCTGACGGAGCCTGCTCTGCTGTGCCCCATAGGACCAGCTTGCAAGGGACCATGCCCCTCCCTCCTACCCTCTCCTGAGCACTAGATCCCTAGGAAACCTCGTCAGTTACACACAATCTGCTAAGAATCTCCCTCTGTCTAGCAAGTCAAGACTGAAATCTCAGGCAGCCTTGGAAGGCTTCTGTTCCACTGAGTCCCATTCGAGCTCTGGCATCTTCCCGGTAACTCGTTCTACCAGAGAGGTAGCTCCTTTCACCCTGCTCACATGGCTCCTTCCTGTATTCCTACCACCTTTCCGTCCCTAGCTTTCTTTGTACCCACATCCCCCTGCCCACATCCACCCAGTTTATCATCACGTTCATTTACCTCATTCTAACCAATCCATTTCCCTCTTTCTTTCTGATTCAACTTCCTTTCTGTTCAGCTCTTCCTTTCTGATAATCCAAATCCATACATTTTCTTCAAGGCTAACATGAAGAGCTTATTCTTGTGTTAAAATTTTCTTGATTAAATTCTAACTTTCCTAGAATTCCCGTGGCTTCCAGTCAGGTCACAAGATTTAGCATTCAATTATTCATACATACCTTGATGCTTTAGTATATGGTTACATGTTATAGTCCCTTGCCCACTGCAAGGGCTTCAAGTCTATTGGCTGGCTGATGGATTTGTTAAAGAACTCAGAAAACGAGAATAAAATTTTGTCTCTCTTGAGAAAACACTACAGCTTGGAGCAAAAGGGTTCAGATGCGGTTTGGCTAATGCCTCACCTGCAGAAGTTCGAGGGCTGGCTGCCGAGCCTTCTTCTCCAACTCAGAGATCAGAGTCCCGAGCCGGACCACTTCCTCTAAGCCTTTGGTGACACAGCTGTCCCTCCCTTCAGTGAGCTCTTGCTCCAGTCTCACCAGCCACTCCAGGAGACACTGCTCCTTTTCTCTCAAGAACTGATGGCTCAGTTCAAACACTGTAGCAATGTCTTGCTTGTAGTTCTGGAATTTTGTCTACAGTAAATTCGGAAAGAGAAAAAGACAATACTTTTTTTTTTCTGGAAAGTTAGCAAGCACCAGAGAGTTGAGATTTTCTGGGGATATGTTTAGAATAAGAATTTTATCCATTACCCTCCTTCCCCCAGCCTCAGCACACACACACCCTGACCCCACTCCCATGCACACACAACATTCTCTCTAAACTCAAAACTCACCAGCAGGGCTTGAATTTCATCCTGTCCTGTAGATTGAAAATTCTGAATTCTATCCCTGTCTCCCTTCAGTACCTTCAGATGGCTTAGAATTTTACCCTATGGAAATATACATAAATAATTTCAAACTCAAGGTAGAAATGACCTCAATAAAAAAGGGCACACGAAGAGACTCCAGGATGAAACTAGACAATGTTTAACCTTATAGTGTATAGCAAAAATTACAATTTCCCTTCTAATTAATGATGAAGAAACAAAATGAGAGATGCACTGGCTTAGAGCAATTGTCTAGAAGTGAGATAAAATAGTAATAATGTATTATTACTCAACCATTGAGACTTATGCTATAGTTCTTATGAGAATACTTTAAAAAATTGTGGAAAATAGAATGTAAAAACAAGTTATTTTGGTGTAAAAGTTCTCAGAAATTCATATGTCATATTTTTATAATATACACTTCCCATAAATTTTTTGAGTATCCCCAAACACACATATGTATTTACTAATATTTTCCTTTTTCATCAAAATTATACTTTAAAAGTCAATATGAAAAGAGAAGACTAATCCTGAATTGCTGAAAGAATGACTAAATCTGCTTTAAGACTTTTGTCAGTCAAGGAGAAAAGGGACATGTTAATGCAATTCTTATTAGAAAATAGGAGAAAACATTCTAGGGCCCAGCATGGTAGTCTGGTGGCTAAAGTCCTTGCCTTGCATGCACCAGGATCCCATATGGGTGCCAGTTCTCTCTATCTCATTCTCTCTGTATAACTGCTTTTCCAATAAAAATAAATAAATCTTTAAAAATATAACTTTACAAAAAAGACCTGTCTAGTATCCCCAGAGAATGTAACATTTCTCTTATTATTAGGTTATTAAAGAAAATTAATAATGGAGATTTTATAAAAGATATGATATACTCAAAAATATTTCTACAAAAGTTATTCACAGGAGAAGGCACAATTTCCATCAAGAAGGGTCCTCAAAAAATACATAGAAGACACATATTTATGGAACCAGCATTGTGGCATGGTGAGTAAAACCGCCTATGATACAAGTATCCCAGATGGGTCTCAGTTCATGTCTTGGCTTCTCCAACTTCTACTGTAGCTTCCTGCTAATGGCCTGGGAAGAACAGTGGAAGACAGCCCTAGATTTTGGGCTGCTGCCACCAATGTGGGAGACCCAAATGAAGCTCCTGGCTCCTGGCCATATAGCTTGGCCGAGCACTGGCCATGTGACCATCTGAAGAGTGAACTAGCTGGTGGAAAATCTCTCTTCTTTACTTCTGACTTTAAAATAAATAAATAAATATTCTTTAAAACAAAAGCAATTAAAATATACATTTATGAGAAGAAAGTGCATAGGTTTCAAAGGTTTCCCTTCCACAACAAAAATAAACTTTTCGAGTTTTAGTTTGTGGACTGGCATTGTGGTCCAGCAGACTAAGTTACCACCTTCAATGTCAGGATTCCGTGAGTGGCTCTTTGAGTCTGGCTGCTCCGCTTCCCATCTTGCTCCCTGCTTATGCGCCTTGGAAAACTGCAGCAGATAACCCAAGTATTTGGTCCTCATCATGCGTTTGGAAGATTCAGTGTTCCTAGCTCCTGGCTTTGGTCTGTCTCAGCCCCCCAGTGTTATGGCCACTTGGGAAGTGAACCAGTAAATGAAAGATCTCTCCCTTTCTGTGTAATTCTGCCTTTTAGTTAAACAAGTACATCTTCAAGAAAAAAAAAAATCAAAACTTTCACAATCTTTTTTAAGTACTCTGTCAATGCTGAGAAACAGCAGTAATACTGGTATCCTCTTTTGCTGGTTGAGTTTTGGTCTGAATGCCTTGGAAATCAAAATGGCAAGGCAATGGGACTGCCATAAACTGATACAGAAACAAATCATGTTTTTGTTTTTTTAAACGAAAGTCAGAGTGGCAGTTTACCGCGAACTTTCATATTAAAGCATCTGGCCCATCAACTCATCCCTGTTGTGATGTTTACACTTACAAATTAAAACAGCACAAGTGAGGTGAGGATGCAGACAGGAAACCTTGATGCACAGTTGGACAGCTGGTGGGAACACAAACTGAGGATCCTTACAAAAACAAAACAGAGGCTCCTCAAAAAATTAAAAATGTAATTACTGTATGATCCAGAAATTCTATTTCTGAGCATTTATTCAAAAGTAATTTGGGATCTCAAAGAGAGATCTACATGCCATGTTCAGTGCAACATTTTTCTCGTAACAAACCTGTGGAAACAAGCTAAATGTCCAGCAATGGATCAATGAATAAATAAAATGTGGTCTACACAAATAGTGAAATATTATCCACCCTTTAAAGGAAGGGAATCCTGTCATTTTGACCATGCAGATGAACCTAGAAGACAGTACTTAGTGAAATAAGACAGACACATACTGTATGATCTGACTTGCACGAGGTTCTGAAATAGTGGAGCTTCTATGACAGAGTGGTGGATGCCAGAGGCTACTGAGTAGAGAAACAGGGAGGTGAAAGAGGGACCAGAGTTTCCGTTATACAGGTCAGTTCTGGAAATCTACTCTAAAGCACTATACCTATGATTAATATTTCTATATTGCAGACTGAACATTTGCAAAAAGGGCATCTTAAGTGCTGCTACCATACACACATGGAAAGAAATCATACAAAAAAGGGTGTGAGAGGAGACTCTGGGTCATGATGGATACATGTATGGCTTTGACAGTGGTGATGGTTTCACAGGTATATTCTACCCCCAACTTAAAAAGTCATATTCTGGACCCAGTATGATAATCTAATGGTTAAATATTTGCCTTGCATGCTCAAGATCCCATATGGATACCAGTTCATATCCCAGCTGCTCCACTTTCCATCTAGCTTCCTGCTTGTAGCCTGTGAAAGCACTGAAGGATGGTCCAAAGCCTTGGGACCTTGCACCCGTGTGGGAGACCTGGAAGAAGCTCCTGGCGTTGGATCAGCTTAGCTCTGGGCGCTGTGGTCACTTGGGGAGTGAAATAAGGAGATAGAAGATCTTTCTATATCTCCTTCTCTATATATCTGCCTTTCTAGTAAAAATAAATAAATCTTTTAAAAATTATATATGAAAATTGCACCTTTAAAAAAATTGACCTTATTCTGAAAATTCAGAGCTTTTCAGGGTTACAAGGGCAGAGCAGGGGATCCTCACCCGAAAAGGTTGTGCAGCTTTCTCCAAGAGAATGGCAGTGTGGTGCCTGTGCTCCCAGGACTCGCGGCACAACACGCATAGGATCTGCTTGTCGTCCTTGCAGTAGTAATGCAGCTTCTCCAGATGTCGCCTGCACAGCTTTTCTGCTTGCTGCTCTGGGGGTCTTTCTTCTTGGGTGTTTTGCTCCTCATCTATCTTCATTCTCCAGATGTTCTCCACCAGGCTGGCCATCTGCCACACGTGGCGGATGTTCTCTTTCTTAAAAGCTAACTTGCAGAGAGAACAATGTAGTGCGTGCTTTGAAGACTCACAGACCTTAATGATGCAGAGGTAGCAGAAGACGTGACCACAGTCGATGGTCACTGGATCCTTCAAGAAGTCTAGGCAGATGGAGCACAACATCTCATCCTCCAGGTTCCTCAGCAGGGAGGCAGCAGCCATGATCATCCAGCTTGGGGTCTGCAGAACTCCCCTGCACAGTGAGACTCACTTGCTAGGAAGACATAAAGAGAAAAAGGAAGTTGTGAATTTCACAAATGTCTACACGGGACTAGGAGAAAAAGAGTGTTATGTTCAGACTATTCTAACTTTTCCCTCAAAAATTTAGTTTCATTCTAGGGCACTAATCAGAAAAGGTTCCTTGCCTACAGGATTAGATGGGTGTTAATATCAAGCAGCTAGTTCTGCTAAAAACGTTTCAAAGTGAAACCATAGCTCGAAGTGAGCTCAGAGATCTAATTAAGTGGAGGTACTTACTCAGGTTATGAAAGAATAAATTTGCAAAATGGTCCAAAGAGCATATTGCTGAGCTCTTAATTCAGCTCAATAAAAAAAAAAAGTTTCAGTTCTTGTTCTGGCTACTTCATTTCTCATCCAGCTCCCTGCTTATGGCCTGGGTAAACAATGGAAGGTGACCCAAAGCCTTGGGACCCTACACCATGTGGGAGACCTGGAAGAGGCTCCTGACTCCTGATCTGCTCAGCTCTGGCTGTTGTGGCCATTTGGGGAGTGAACCAGTGGATGGAAGATATTTCTCTATTTCTCCTTCGTTCTGTAAATCTGCCTTTCCAATTGTGTATATATATTTAAGTTTCCTGCAATGGAAAATAAGAATTACAACATTTATAGCTGCATTCTAAAATTCATCTAATAACAAAAGAATTATGCATTAGAAATATCTGTGGTCAACCACAGGTATACTATTCATTCTGAGACATCTCATTATCACAGTTTAAACTATTTTTTAAACATTGTTGAAACTTCTCAGTAAGAGATTCATTCACATCTCAGTCTCTTTTGTACACACAAACATACAGAAAAATGACTACTATTTACTCTTCATTATTTGTATCATGTTCTGATTTCAAAATTATTATCCACTTTTAAGATGTTAGAATTAAAGAAAAATGTGATATTATCATACAAGGCACAGTAACCTGCACTTTGGAAAACAATTGGTCTCAATCACTACAACTTTGTCACTAACCCTCACACTGCCATCTCCACATCTGGTCAATGAGATGAATAATATAATATTTGAGAAAACATTTTTACTGTGTTATCTCAAAAGCAGAAAGGAGATAAAAGAGAAGAGATACATGAAACTTAAAGCTCATGTAATAAGAATTATCCAATCTAAGGGTATAAAGCAGGAAAAAAACCCCACAAAAACAAAAGCAGGGACCTGGTGGCTTCTGGAACAATCTCAAGAAGTCCAACATGCACAGCTTAGAGTGCCAGGAAAGGAGAAAGAAGCTGTTGAATGAATATTAATGAATGGTCAATGGCCTCCCAAATAGGGCAAAAGACAGATTTATGCCAAGATATTAATACCAAACAAAGTAACTTCAAGGAAAACCACATCAGATATATCAAACTCAATTCACTACAGACTAATACAGACTGAAACAGAAAACAGAAATGTTGAAGGCAGAAAGAAGAAAACAGCGTTTCACATCAAGGGCATAATAACTGAAATTCTGATAGATCTCTCAGCTGGAAACCACAGAGGCCACAAGATAGTAGGAAAATAAGCATTAAACTAAATTGAAAGTCTAGTTAAAACTTACACAAAGAAAACTACAGGCCCATGTCTTTACTAGTGAATTCTACTGGGCATTTAAAAGTAAATGCTAACTTTGTACAAATATTGTTCCCCTGTGCCTTTATGCGCAGTCACAAAGGAACTTGTCTCACATGCATTCATCTTTTTTCTTGCTCTTCCTCTCCAAGGAGCCAGAAGAACAGAAGGGATGCTCATTCTCTGGGGCCTTGAGGCACCCTTCCAGCCCCAGGCTTGGTGGGCTCACTATTCCCCGTGACACCCAGGTTCAGCAGACAGACAGACAGACACAGAAAACTATTGTAAGGAAAGGAACTTTTATTACAAACTCTGGTGTATTAAAAAAATATTTTATTTTTATTTGAAATGCGGAGGTTAAGAAGGAAAGACAGACAGATCTTCCATCTGCTGGCTCACTCCCCAAATGGCCACAGTCACCAGAGCTGAGTTGGTACAAAACTAGGAGCCAGGAGCTTCTTCCATGTCTCCCACATGTGTGCTAGAGTCCAAAAACTTGAGTTATCCCTGCTACTTTCCCAGGGTACAAGCAGGGAACTGGATGGGAAATGCAGTAGTCAGGACTCAACTTGGCACTCTTATGAGATGCCAGTGCTACAGGCAAAGGCTTAGCACCAGTGACTCTGTTGTATTAACAACAATCTTAAATCAGCCCAACCATCCCATCCACATGTTCATTCCATCTTTCCTCCCCACCTCTTCCTGTTCAAAGGAGTCTGTTAGAACTGCTGCTATTGGGTGGGTTTGCACTTGATTCTTCCAAAACATTGGAGACAACCTGTCTTGCAAGCAGTAGGTTTCTACAGAAATGTGATGTCAGAATGATGGAGCGCTATCAGAAATATTTTAATCCATAGTCAGTTATCTTGTATAGGAAGTAAGCTAGTTCACAAACGTGTACCACGAAACAATAGCCTTTAACTTCTCTAAAACCAAATTTCCTATGGGAGCTAGAGGTTTTCTTCTTTTTTTTTCTTTTCTTTTAGTCCATCATCATTTTCTTGCCCCCTATCCCCTCATCTGTCAAAATTTTTCCTTGATGCAGAGCATTTACTCATAAACTGAGAAAGATTTGAGCTTTAACTCCGGCTTAGCTGGTGAGAATCAAAATTTCCTCAAACTACAATTCATCCTGAAGGATAAAGGTTGTATTCCTTGGTAAGTGCCCACTTCAAGTCACTAGGGCAATGTTAGGGGCTCACCCCTCACAAGGGAGTCCTCCCAGATTAAAACAGCTTCTACTTTCAGGGAGGGGAGCTTCCTGGCTGCCATTTTGGCTGCAAGATCTGCGGATCGATTGCCCTCACCCATTTCTCCTTTCCCCTTTCGATGTCCCTTGTGGTGTATCCTGGCTGCTTCCCTGAGAAGAGACACTGAATGGTAACAATTGATCTCTGATGATATCTGATAAGGGACCTACCTATGGTGAAGAAGTGTTTCTGCTTCCAAATGCGCACATGGGTATGAAGGGCTAGACAAGCACATTTAGAAATGGTATAAATACTTGCCCTTATATCCTTGCTTGGCTTGAGGGCTCTCATCGGCTCTGCCTGCTGGGCACCTGCACCCTTGGGAAGAAGTCATCTTTGCATATGCTGCTCTGGAGGCCCCTTGTCTCAAGGCTTGCTACTTCATTTCAATCATCCATCCTCATTTTACACAGCATTCACCTTCCACAAAATATCTACAACACATTTACCTCATTTTTTCTTTCTATCCAGAAGGTTATTTCCAACAATATCCTCTTTCTTTACCTTCCATCACCAAGAGTACAGTCTCATGCTTGTACCCTTCTCCACAACTTTCTTCCTATCTACTGGTTCCTGTGGCCATACTTAACCGAGGGCTAGCAGAGTTGGGTCTTGGAGTGTGGAACATTGGTGCCCCTGTCCTTTGGGAAGCTGAGAACAGCATCACCACCTTCTTGTCATATCTCCTCAGTGAGAGCATGAAGGAGAATATCATCCACAGCAAAATGTTTGGCTCTCATCTGAAACATCATCCAGTTCAGTCACCTTCAAGCTATCAGAGCAGCTCCAGTGAGGCAAGAGCAACCAGCATGGGCTTAAACAATTGATGAAAAACAAAAATACAGACCCAAGACAGAACACAAACTCACATACCTAGGAAAACACTCCCCTTGTCTGATCTTCAACAAAAGTCCACATGGAGTCGATAGCTCCAACAGAATGGTGGGCTCAAGAGTTATACCAGTGCTAGAAAAATGGCAGAGTTGATACGGCATCAAAATCATCCCACAGGGGCAGCACAGTGACAAAACAGGTTAAGCTATAGATGGAACATTCTCTTTTTCCCTCTTTATAACTGCCTTTCTAATAAACAAAATGTTTAAAAATGCAAAGGCTAGGGGTTGTAGCCAGATCTCAGATCGGGCATGTCCCTTCCCGCAAGTCCATCTCAACCCTGGGTTAACTACTCACAAAGTTTGCCTGGATTTAGGGTACCCAGGGAGGATGACCTCCACGTTTTGTTCCTCCTTAATTCTCTCATCCCCACATTCAACTTCATTTCTTTGGTTTTCTTTCCATTGTTGGGTACACTTCTAAGGTACATCTCTCTTAAATGTTACATAGCACCATAGGTGACTGAACTTTAAAAGCCTGGTGTGGAGGTGTCCTCAGGTAACACTATCAGCTAGCACTGAATTCACTGGGTGACTCCCAAGGACCCTTGGGCCCTTCCCAATAAACCAGGAGAAGTAACATGTAGGCCATAGAAGGGTTGCTCTTACGACAACTTGTGAAGACAGCAATACCCAAGGCCCTAAGATATACTCAACAGCAGACCTGAAGGAATTCCCAGGTTGGCATAGGCACTTGCTGACTTTTTTTTTTAAGGATTCATTTATTTTTATTGGAAAGTCAGATATACAAATAGGAGGAGAGACAGAGAGGAAGATCTTCCTCCACTGATTCACTCCCCAAGTGGATGCAACGGCTTGGAGCCTCTTCCAGGTCTCCTGCATGGGTGCAGGATCCCAAGGCTTTGGGCAATCCTGGACTGTTTTCCCAGGCCACAAGCAGGGAGCTGGATGGGAAGCAGGACTGCTGAAATTAGAACCAGTGCTCATACGGGATCCTGGCGCATGCAAGGCGAGGACTTCAGTCATTAGGTTACTGTGCCAGTCCCAACATTTGGCTTTAATTCATCTCTGATTTCCCCACAGCTCGCCAAACCCCAATAAAGGGTGGTGACAACAATAACACTAATAATCATCCCCCAAATTCCAGTGGACTGTAGAAAGGATTAAATGTAATCAGGTAAATTTATGAAAAACTACTCTCACAAAGCTAAATGTCCTAGAGAATACTGGTTATTATTTGCACACCATACAATCAGGACTCCTGTTCTTGTTTTAGTCATTATCTGTGACCCCAGGCATTCAAGGCTGCCCTCTTGTCTCTTTCTGTCCTGTGTCAGCTCCTGGCACTTCCAAAATGCTTGGCCAGGCCCCGCACTCCTCTCCGATGCGTCCCTACCGGTCTGATGACTGGCGACCCAGCTCTGCAGCACTGAGCCATGCAGCAACTGTGGCTGCGCCAGTATCCCCTCATCAATCCCGCTGTCCTCTGCGCCTCCAGC